TCTGCTGAGTCAGACAGAGAGTCCAAGATCTGAGCTTGAAATAAAGTCTCTTTGCTTTTACATACGGGATTCGGTCTCTATGGTGGTCTTTTCGGGGTTTCTGTGATCTGGGCATAACCAGCAAGTATCCTTTGCTGATTGTGGATGCCTCAAGCCAACAATGAACTGTTAGGTGCTGCAAATGACCTATACGAACAACATGAAACAAATGTACATATTTCTTTTAACAAAATAGATTTTACAACCATTTTTTAAAAACATGAAAGCAATGACAGACTTTTCCCATGCACTCTGCAATCTGGAGCACTGGGCAAGCTGGGTTCTGTGTCTGAGCTGAATATGCTCAGAGCTGCAGGGGAGGGCAGTGTCCTTGCTGCCTTTAGGGCTCTGGCTCCGTCTTGCTTGACTTCGGAGAGGACTTTTAGTCCCATGGTCATTGCTTCATGTTTTCTTTTCAGTATAAAGGCAAGCATATTCTCCTTCTGTATAAAATCTATTTATCTGTCTGTATCCACAGACATACATATCTGTATTTAGTTATCTAGTATCTTATCTTGTGTCTGTTATATTACCTATCTATCTATCTATCTATCTATCTATCTATCTATCTATCTATCTATCTATCTATCTATCTATCTATTATCATCATCTGTCTATCTGGAAGAAAAACCCTTTTTCACTGAAAGCAGATATCTGTGGCTCTGTGTCCAGTGTTACTTCTGGAACTGTGTGTGTGTGTGTGTGTGTGTGTGTGTGTGTGTGTGTGTGTGTGTGAGGAATAGGGCTTAGGGGCTCCTTCACTGTGGGTTCAGGAACCGGATGACCCACAGAAAGAGCTGGGAGCAACTGGGGAGCACGGGGGAGCACGGGGGAGCACTGGGGGCTGGAAGCTGGGAGCTGGAGGTTGGAGAAATGGGCGTATGCTGGAGGGAGACATTGCACTACTAGGGAATATCATCATCAGACACCAAGGAGATCTTGGTAGGTCGTGTTGTTTGGATCTAGATCGTTGGTGGCAATCTTACCAAGTGTGGTTTTTTTTTTTCACCTTTGCACAGATGATATAATTGTCCCGCAGGAAAGTAAGATCAGTACAAGGAAGCAGACAAAAGACAAAGGGTGAGGAAGGACAGGGGTCCCTGCTTACTTGTTCTTCTGTGGTGAGCACTTCACGTCTGGCTGTGGAAGGAGAAACATTCAGGTCAGGGTGTCTGCATTCATGTCCTCCCACCTCCTGGCTAGTGCCCTTCCCCAAGAGAGTACAGACCCTTTTACTTCTATTTAATTTGGAAACAGGAAGAAGTAAGGATTGATATCTTCCCATCTACCCCTGGACCTGACTCTATCTTTCTATCAAAGAAACGTCTGAAAGCAAATGTCGCCAGAACAGGTTCTAGACTTTAGACGAGAAAGAAGAAGGTGATGGGAAGTTGGATGGGTAAAGACTGTTACATTGACAAAAGGAGAAGATGCTGAAGGCTAGCCCAAACCCTAATTGGATATCCAGTGACAGAAGAAATCAGCCCTGGCCTTAGAGAGAACACCTTTCAGGCTCCGGGACTAGCAGAGGGGAACATCTTGGATTCAAGGGGGTAGTCTATCTTGATGAATAAGTGAGCTTCCAGAAAGCTCATCAAAATTTTCTTAGCAGAAGGAGCTACCAACTTGAATAAATACGTCTTGCTTTAGAAGTCTATTGAAGCAATCACTTTTGCCCTAGACTAAATAGAAAAAAGAATATTGTCATCATGGAGGGAGAGGTGGGTTGATTTGAATATCTGTAGGTAGATTTAAACACCTAGAAACAAACTGGAACTGAACAGCTTTGAAAGTGATAGCCGGTCCTTTAAGTGTGTCTTGAAGTAAATGAAGCTTCAAGGGGAATAGACGTGTAGATGTGCAAAGTGATTATTTTGAAAGCCAGCATTCATGCTTAAATATTATCACCAAGACAGGGAGAAGAGTGTGAGATATGAAAAGTTACAGAGAAACTCACAAATCTCAAATATCTGATTTTTTTTTTTTACTCCTCTATAGAATTATCCATATCAGAATTTTAACTAGGCTTTTCAGAACATAAACACTGGAGGAACTCAGTGCACGATGTGCTTGTCCCAGAACGGGAACTTACCAGGCGGCCACTTATGTACCACTTGAACCCATTACTTATAGCTGTCCTTTATCCCATCAATCGAAAGCCTCACAACACCCCTGAGAGGGAGATAATTTGATGACTCTTAGAGAGCTCTGGACCAAGCTACAGAGTGACAGGGTTGGGAGTCGGGCATTGATATGGCCTCTCTATCATGTTTCCTTTCTGATGTGTTACTGTCCAATGAAGACTCACCCTGGGTACCACACTGTCCAAGGTGGGTGCGTGAGTACGGACCTGTGCACCCTAGCTCTTGTTTACTGTTTATCTCTCAGCAGCCTTGAGGACCGCTGAGTTTAGTAAGAGAGGCTTACCGCCTTCACATTCAGCGCCACAGATTATCTTTCTAACGTGAAGGACCCCGGTATAAATCATATCCGTTTTGTAAGAATTCTTTGGTTCGTGCTTCTATTCACGCCTGAGTGTGTAATGGTGGGTTTCTGTCTCTGTGACTGTGATCTCTCTGTGTGTTCTTCTGAGTGCTCCTTTGTGGGACTTGGGAAGAAAAACCTCTCTTCTCACATGGGACTCAGGTAAACAGACTGGCTATGTCTGTCAGGCTGTGGCTTCTCAAAGGCTGGGGAATGCCAGAGATTTAGCAAGTAAGGGGTCAAAAAAGAGTTACTAACTGTCTTTTTTACAGGGCCTGAAGAAGTGAATTAGAAACACGGTGGCAAGGACCCATTGCAGTGGGTAGCCATTCCAACTTTGATCTGGAAGTTCCAACCCCCATTGAGGCTTCAGCACTGTCACACCTACAAGGTGGAGCCAAGAGAGGACCCTGAAGACCCGAGATCTGGATGGGCTGTCTCTCTTGGTTCCTGGACGCTGGACGCTGGAGGTAGACTGAGCTGAGTTCTCCAGAGAACACCGCTGGACTGTGCTGTGTCTTTCCCAGACCCTGTAACCTACCTATCCCTTCATTTGTAAGTTACACCACTAAATAAACCTCCCTTTTAACTATGTGGAGTGGCCTTAATAATTTCACCAATATTAGCAGGCTTGCAGGTAGCCAGGCCATTAACCAGTTGAGGCCTACAAGATTTGAGAAACTGAAACGGGGAAGTAACAATGTACATTGTAGAAATTCAGAAATCCACCCCAAACTAACACAGGAGACGCAATGGACAACTTTGGAAAAACAAAACAAAACAAAACAAAACAAAACAAAACAAAACAAAACAAAACAAAACAAACAAAACAAAACAAAATAGAACACATAGCCTGAAAAGCCTTGTAAGTGGGAAAGAAAGACGGCTCAGAAGATTCTAACATGTCATGGATGGCCATGTAACCCCTCCCCCACGGGCTCCCCACCCTCTGCCGGTTCAGAGGATAGGCGTTCCAATGGGGGTCTGTGGCCCATTAAGCAGAGCCTCCCATAAGTCATTATTGTGCTAGGTGTGGTGGGAGGTTACAGAAGAGTGAGATCTGACTTCCACCAGTTACCGGGGCTCACAGACCGTGGGGACAAAACATACCAACCAGGGGAACGTCCCGGACTCACTCCTCTCTCTGGAGACACTGTTTTTCGCTTCACAGAAATAGTTCCGAGCACTCCACTCTGACTTCACTGGGCTGAGGAGGGAGGAAACATTGTCAGTGGAAGCCAGGGGTTCCCCTAGGATCTCTCCATCACAGTAGAATGAGCACGAGACTGGAAGGGAGCCCTCCCTGGGCCTCACAGGGAAACTCCACCATGTCTCCTACAGCAGGGTTAGTGGCTTCATGTTGCAGAGTAAGCACAGGATGGGATACAGGCACTGGATGGTACATGGAATAGGAGAGTCAGCCGGACTGTCCAGGATCCAGAATCCCTTCTTCCCTGGGACCCCTTACCTACTGTCATGAAGGTTGTTGCCTGATGTCTGGATCCCTTAGGAGTATCTCTCTTCCCTTGTCTACTTACCCTGTACTTGGCTCTCCAGCTGGTGACTTTGTTTCCGGATTAGGCCATCTTTAGTGGCCGCCATACACTGGTAAACCCAGAGTCTTCGACTTCTGAGATGTAGAGTACTGGGAGGTGACTCCTGTCCTGAGTGAGATGACTGTCCTTATAGAAAGAGTAAAAGAGCCATGAGGCTGACTTCTGAGGAAACACCTTTGTCGGACACCTCAGGACCAGCGGTCTCCCCTCTTGGAAGTCTGGAGAGAGGACAGAGCTCAGCATAGGCGTCTGGAACTACTCTGGGGAGACATAACACCAAGGCTCAGGAAGAAAGTCCCAGACAGTGAAGCCCAGGAGGCTGAGGACTGATCTTCCACATCAGTCAGGCTATAACTATGAGACCCAGAAGAGAGATAATTTCATCCCCAGAGCTTGTCCATTGTCCTCATGCAGTGAGTCTGAAATGACTCCTACAAAGCCAGGTCCTGTGAGAACCCCAGAAAGTCAGAGCCAGAAGACCCCTTAGTAGTTATGGTCCTCAGAGGGGAAAAATGGGTTAGATGTGCTGGTCCAGGGCTCTTCCAAATTCCTTGCATCCTCTGGCTGCATGTTGGACATCATTGTGGATATCTCAGGGCCCGATGAATTGGCTCAGCATCAGCTAGAGGGAGGGGTCCTGCCTAGAGAGCCACTGACCTCCAGGGTCAGTGAATTGTGCCTTACTGTCCCACCAGGCCCCTCCAACCGATGACTCACCTTGGGCCTTCAATCATGGCTGGTTCTGAGGCTTGTTCAAAACGCATCCTTTGCCCTCTGGAGCTGTAATTCCCGCGGTTTCTCGCTGTTGCTGTCTTTATGGACAGAGGACTGTTGTTCACAGAGAGACTAAAGAATGTCCCATCTTTGCAGCACTTCGCCTGGGACAGTGTGTGGGTCCGTGCCCAGCACTGTAGAGCCAGTGTGTCACCTTCAAACACAGGGTTTGGCCGGACGTGGAGACGTACCCTAGCTGTGAGACGCGGGGACAGAACGAGCCGCGGAACGACGGGTCCCATTGCTTTACCGTTCTCTCTCTGTTCCAGATGTAGGCCTCTCACCCTAGGGACGGAGACTCCTGTACAGCGCCTTTGTTTCTGGTTCTTTGTGCTAAGACCAGGGTGGGGCAGGGGCTCGACTTCCTTTTCTTCGGCTGGCCTGCTCCTTGCCACGCTCTCTGTAGTCCTCTGCTTCACAGTCCCACCTTGTGCCTTCTATCTGACTTTCTTCCCTCCCATTCCCTCTTCCCATTGATTGCCCCCACCACACTGCCAGGTTTTCCGAGCCGGGTTCAGCCTCTCCATGGTCAGACCTCATTCCTCTTGATTCTGTTCCTGCTTTCCTCCGTTGGTTCAAATCCCTCCCCCCGTGTGGCTTTCTCTTCAGCCGTTACGCCCGATGAGAGCTGCATAAATGCCCACCAGGAAAACAACAACAAATCAACTTTTTGGCTAGGCTTCCCCAGACCGAGCTCTCATCTCTACCCCGAGACGAGACAAGAGATCCATCTTCTGTCAGTCTAGGAGAGGGTTGTTTTTTCTGTCTGTCCTCAAAGGCACTCGGAGCTCTGATGTGGACGAGAGACGGGGTCCCAAAGATCTGACATCATCTGCAGGGCAGGCATGCTGGGTCTGTTCCCAGGCTGTAACTTTTTGACATGTTAGATATGACTAGCTCAGACAGCCTTAGGAGTCTAGACAGATGGTCTAAGAGTCACGATAAGGAATCAGATGAGGAATGCTGACGTTGGTCCCAGCACCTCCTGCCTTTGCCTGCATCGCCCTGGATGCTTAGAGCCCTTCTGTTCTCAACTAGAAGCAGAGCGGTGATGTTCATGTGCTTGCTACAACTGCCCTTTCTGTCGGTTCCAAACATTAGTTTGAATGACTTCTGCGTGCATCACAGAAGGCAAGATGTTCACAGCTCAGAGTTTTTTCCCCCGCTTGATAGAAAACACCATGAAGGCTATGAGACAGGAAGAGCTGGAGGGCAAAGAGAAGCTGAGGAAGAAAAGAAGATGAAGCCAAAGGTGGTGATTCCCTGACTGGAAAAGGGAAAAGAGTCTAAACCTTGACACCCCAGAGCCACACTGAGAGGAGAGGCAACAGCTAGAGCCATGTTTAAGAGACCGTGTGGGGTCTCCGAGCTACCCTGCTGAGACTCCTGTGACCTTAGAAGCACCTGGAGCCTGAGCCAATGGAGTCCTGTTCTTCCTTTTTCCTGGACTCTAGTTAACGATTCTGATAATGGGACCTAGTCTGGGTCTTCCTTGCAAATGAGGGACCCAATGGTATTGTCATATCGCTTCTCATTAAAATTGTTGGCCCAGGAACATACTTGGAATCAGAAGAGACATGGATAAGACTTACAATTTGTCCCAACACAGGAATCTGTAGGAGACCAAAGTGATAAAATTAAATTAAGTAGCAGAAAAACTTCCATATCAACAAGAGGTATTTATATCATTTTGAGCTACCCACCACCCAGCCCCCAAGACGCCCAATACCTACCACTCAACCACTTAATTACCAAACCACTCAGGCACTCCCCACAACCATTTAACTAGTAAACATTTATAGTGGACACATCCTCTACAATCCTCTACCCTGCATCTGGTCAAATTCTGCCTTCCCAGACAGGCCTTCCCTAGGACTGCAATCAGAATTCTCATGCGAGTAGAATCCTATTGCATCACTATTACTTTTTGGAGTATCAGCGGTATTTTTATTAATTTGTGAGACAGGTTCTTACTCTGTAGCCCAAGCTGCCCTGGAACTCATTATGTAGCCCAGGCTGGCCTCTGACTGGTGGAAATGCTCCTGTTTCAGTCTCCTGGGTGCTGAGATGACAAATCTTAGCCACCACATCTGGCTTGATTTTGTCTTATTAAGTTGCCAGCATGTTATCACTTAGCTTCCTCTGTGCAGAATGAAATCAGACTACATGTCTTAATGACGATGTACCTTATGCCCAGGGCATGTGCCTGGAACACAGAACTAGTAGTAAGCATGATGGTTAGTCTTATTAACTTGGTTGGATTAAGGAATGCCCAGGTGATTAGTAGAACACACCTCTGGGTGTGTCTATGAGACCATTTCCAGGGATAAGTAGGTCATATGGGCTCTGTTATAATGAATGGATTGATTCAGAATATGACGGCATTATTGGGAGGTGCCAAAAGGAGGAGATAGGACGTATGGAGGAAGTAGTTCACTGGAGGTGTGCCCTGGAAGGGAATATCTTGTTCTCTGTCCCTTTCTTGTATACTTCCTGGTTACCTGGAGGCATGCCTCCATCACGCCTTTCCACCATGGTGTTCCTGCTTTACAACCTAAAAGCAACAAATCCAGTTGACCATATGCTGAATCCTTGGAAAGCATAAAGAAAAGTCAACCTTTCCCGCCTCAGGTCAATTTTCTCAAGTATTTTGTACCAGGAACTAAAAGCTAACTACCATCGGGTGGTGGGTGAACAACTGACACCCTCATATGCCACACGCTCTCACCCTCGCTGCTCATCCTGCTTTGGATACAGATGGAGAATTTTAAGTTAATTTTGGATTCAGCTCGGGGTCAGCACATTTATAGGTTTTTCAAGTTTTTGCAGAACTATAAAAGTCTCTTTCCTTCCATCTCCCCCACCCTTCTCACCCATGAATTTGATGTTGTAAAAAAGTAGGCAGGATTTGGAAGCAGATGGTCTTGACTGGACTTACCAATCTGCCTCTTTCTGTGTGAACTTGGACAAACTGCCCAAATTCCAAGAGCTTCCAATTCCTCATTTTGTCATATCATATAATTGGGAGGGATAATAGTAAAAAATTTTTTAGAATAGTAATTTTGTTTTATAGGTGGTTGTAAAGGTTATGTTGACCCACTGCCTGGGAAACTGGTTATCGCACTAACTGAAAGCGGAAAGAAGGTTTGACCTCAGAGTAGATGAGAACCTGCTGCGTAGTCAGGCTTCCCCTACCTTTCTTTCTCACTGGAAAACAACTTGGGAGTTACAACATGCTGAGCAAACAGGATGGAGAGCACTGACGCTTATAACAAAAGAGAAGTCATCTAGACAGCGGAGCCTCTCAGGTGAGCTCATGTCTCCAAGTCCCGAAGACTTGTTGCTCCAATGTACAACAGGACCTTGGAGTTACGAGTGTGAAATAGGCCTCTGCAATCAAGATGGCAGCCCACTGGGGTCAGACCGAGCAACATTTGCCTGCAGCCGTTCCTGTGAAGAAGGCCCAGGGACCTTAGTTAGGTGTAGACTGATGCTGAGGTGACAGAGTGACAAGGTATCTAAGAGCCATTGTCAGAGTAAGTTGCATTGTGGAGTCCCGAACTGTGGAAGCATCTGGGAGCTTCCTGCTTCACAATGGGAAGGAGGAGAAAGCTGAGCTCCCAGCACATCAACAGAGCAGATGAGGATGAGGGACAGGGTCTGGAAACCATCTCCTATTGGACTGCTGAAGGATTTGGGAGATAATTATCTGTAAAGATACAATAGAGCATGGACAATAGTGGCCTCCAGTCATTCTTTGGAAGAGAACGGGAAGATTTATCATGAGTTACTTCATAGGACAGAAAAGAGACTAATTATTGAAAATTAGAGGGATCAGGGAGGCAGATTTAGCTCCACATGAAGAAGTATCTCACAGTGGGTCTCTTCTGTGGAGGAACGTGGCGCTTTGTCAAGCTGTGGCTGCCATGGCGCTGGGAAGAGTGTGTGGAGGTCCCTGCCTCGGAAGCTGTGTGAGTACATGGGAGGAAGTCTCCACTAGGAGAGGGAACTTGTCTAATTTTTGGCTCAGAAGAAAGTTAAGGACCATCCCTCAAACTGTTTCATATTTAATGTTGAGGCATATCCTATCATGTTTGATGCCAGGACCTCTAGCTTTCTAGACACCTAATAACTGATAATTATTAGTTGTTGCACATTTTCATGACCACACCCTGCCCGTTATTTAAAATGAATTTCTATTTTCTAATTTTTTATTTTATTTTTTAAAAAGACTTATGACATATAAGTGCATGTCTGCCTGAACACCAGATCACATTACAGATGGTTGTGAGCCACCATGTGGCTGCTGGGAATTGAACTCAGGACCTCTGGAAGACCAGCCAGTGCTCTTAACCTCTGAGCCATCTATCTAGTCCCCCTGATTTCTAGTTTTGCTGATTAGAACCTACCTATGTCTGAGTAGGAGGGAGGAATAGCTAAAGCATGGGACTCAACCTCTGGTGGATAGGTGTTGGCAT